TTTGGTTCCCAGCATCTTCATGTTTCTTCAGTCATCTGTAACTCAAGTTCCAGGGGATCTGACATCTTCTCTGTCCTTTTCAGGCACAGGCACAGGCACACATTGGTGCACAGATACACATGAAAGTAGAATGTTCATACACAAAAAACCTTTTACAAAAACGGGTGGGTGGGTGGGTGGGTGGTGGAGAGGTGGCTGCTCTTGCAGAGGACCTAGATTCAGTTCCCAGAACTCACAGAGTAGCTTTGAACTGTCTGTAACTCCAGTCTCTGGGGATCCAACACCCTCTTTTGGCCTCTGTGGCCACTAGGATGCAAGTGGTACATAAACTATACATGCAAGCAAAACACCCATATACATAAAAAGGGTGGGCAGGCTAACGAAATAGCTAAACAGGTAGAGGTGATTGCTGCCACCAATGACAACTGGTGTTTGACACTTAGAACCCACATAGTGGAGGGAGATAACCATTAGTGTCCTCTGACCTCCACAAGAGCACTGTGGCATGTGTGTGCACACACACACACACACACACACACACACACACACACCAAATAAAATCTAAAAATGCAGGCTAGGCTGTGGTGGTGCACACCTTTAATCCCAGCACTAGGAAGGCAGACAGAGGTAGGTGGATCTCTGAGTCTGAGGCCAGCCTGGTCTACAAGCAAGTTCTGGGACAGCCAAGGCTACACAGAAACCCTGTCTCAAAAAGCCAAAAAATAAATAAAGGTGAAGCATGCTCTCCAGCTGCATCTTTCATTAGGAAGACAGAAGAGGAGAAGAGGACAGTGAAACCAACAAGATGCACCACTAAAGAAGGGATGAGGACCTGGGCCAGGGGCACCTGGTGCTTAGATCCTCCAAGAGAACCGTAAACAGGGGTCTGATGCCTGAGCCACTGGCATGAACGGAAAGGAAACCAGCTTTGAGAGCCTTCTAACAAAGAGTGAAAGGAAATGTTACTGAGACAGTGCCCCTAAGGCCCCACCCCCAGCCCCGTAATTTGAGACATCATGCGGATCAAGCTGAGATTTTATTTACAGTTCCCTGGGAAGTCTTACAGCAGAGAGGCCATCTTTATTGCTTTAGGTTTATTGCCAGGAAGAAGACTGCAGTCCTCTGATGCTACATAGAAGTCCAGTTCGAGCCCAGGTTTGTCCCAAACCTTTTACAACTCCGTGTTTTTGCCGGTGGCCCAAAAGCTGTCACTAAATCCTCCAAAGCACTTTGTTTCCTAAGGGCCACCCTGTCATTTCTGCGATACACCCACCAAATTTCTTTCTGCCTTTGGTAACATTGTGGTCCCCTCCTTTAAAATCCCCTCTCTGTAAGCACAAAGTGTGACCTAGTTCTAGATTTAAGTCCTCCACCTCCAGGCAGGAGGCAGGATTCTGGTTTCCCAAAGATTATCATTTGCTTTCTGCCAGGACCAGCCTGGCTTCTATTGAACAAATACTACAAAGCCCCTCCTGTGTTCCAGATAACACAATAACTCATTCGGTTCTTGCCAACCTTGATGACATTTCAAGGCTCAATTTTGAGGTACTCTCACACTTTCTTTTATCTGCTGGATGTTTTCTGGGTTTCGGCAATAGGGAAAAGAAACGAGCGAGACCAAATGGCTGAGAGAAGACGGCTCATGCCCGGCATTAGCGATAAGGCCTAGCCGTAGAACACACAGCAGGGGCGTAGGGGGGTGGGTGGGAGATCTACTTTCTCTCTCAAGCCCCAAGGCGAAAGGATATGGCTTTGTTCATGCGAATCGCTACTCCAAGCCGGGACTCGTTGATGGGCGGGGCTACCCTGATTCTGCCGCTGCGTGGGAGCAGGGTTGGGGGTGGGGAGGAGATCGGAGCTAGTGGGCCGGTAGCTGGAAAGTGGTTTCCCGGCAGGTGCAATCACTCTGCGTTGGGTCCCCGCGCCCCCAAAGGACTATTTCTTGGAATGCGATTTGTTCCCCAAGAGCGCATCTATTTCCATCACCGTTTGCGGCGTCAGCTGACTCAGCACCTTGAGAATGGACAGTGGAGAGGACAGTTTTTGCTGGGACACTGAGGAAGGGCCACAGTGGTACCCAATGAGAAAGATTCTCAGCTGTTTGGCTCTGTCTCTCTGGACTTTCCTTTGCAGCGGCAATTTTGTAGTCATTTCAGTCCATTCAGGGTTACAGTATGTCTTTGACTCTTGCATCAGGGGAGAGAAAAGGATTCTGTTTCTGAATCTCCAACTCACCTCTAGGGATCCCAGATGTTCCAGCAGCTGTTCTGCACTGGACACCCCCAGCAAGACTGAGCTGACACCCTCACTTCGGAGACACCAGGCTGGGATCAGAGGAAAAAGAAAAGTAACTGATGGGATCAGTGTGGGCATTTGGACTCCAGAAGTGTCTGAAGAGGTTCCTCTCTGAGGACACACTAGTCTAGGGATAAGTTTAAGAAGTCTTAGAGGGAGGCCGGCCCCTGTAAGGTCTCACCTATAGCAAGTTGGGCCACAGTGCAGTCTAGTTGGTGAGCGATGGGGAGAAGGTCCATGACTCTGGCTTGTTGCTTCTTGCCATCCTCACTCTGCACTTTTACCCCTGGAAGCAAAGGAGAATCAGTAAAGGCCCTATCCTGTCCTTGACCACACAGCAGCCTAGATAGCCCAGACCTGCCTCCTTGGGCCTCCAAAATCTCACCTTGACAGTAGCCTTGCAAGTATCTTGAACTCGCCCATCATACTTGCTAGTAATGAGGCCACACGCTAGGGGAGACCAAGTAACCGAGCCAACACCTAAGAGCAAGAGGATTTGGTGTGGGACACGGACCTATGTGATGGGTGAAACGGGCAAGGTGGGGATGAGGGACTGCACACCAATCTTGTGGTAGAGCTCAGGCAGCTGCATCTCCACCTTCTCCCTCTGAAAGAAGTGGTTCTCCGCTTGCTCACACACAGGAGGGATCAGATTGAACTGTCTGGCCATGGAATAGGCCTCCTGGGTTGGTGTGGAAAGAAGTTAGGGGTCAGAGCAATCCTTCCATTTTCTTCCTTCTCAACACAGTGAGGTTTGGACTGATCGTGAGACAAGGGAACAGATATGGGATGGGGAGTGTCGGAGTCACATACCATGATCTCTGCAGCACTCCATCTGGATGTCCCCCAGTATAGGGCCAGGCCCTGATTGATGACATAGGTCATGGCTCTCACAATTTCTAGGTGCACAGGAGAGGAGAAGCCTCGATGTCTGGTCCATGAAATCCTGGACTCTAGATCTACCTCACCTAGACTGTCCACCCCAACAAGACGTGCTAGGGTCTGAGCCTCTGCTATGGAGGCTGGGGGAGTTTTGAGTGGGGGAAGCTGGCTTCCTGATGCCAATTTGAGAAAGTGCCCAGTTTTGAAGGGCTGTCAGGTTTAGGGGTGTTGGTTTTACCCTCCATAGGACTGTTAGGGTCTGAGCGATTGGCAAAGACTATGTCAACATATTCCAGTTGAAGGCGGTCCAGGGATCCTTGCAAGCCTGGAAGTGGGGGAGAGGAGAGGAAGGTAAATATCTTACCTTCAATTTGCTAAGAATTTAGACCACACCCCCTTGTCTCGGTCAACTTAACCTTCTACTTCAGGACTTCAGAAACAGTTCCAGTTCCTTTCATGCCCACCCACCTCAGGTTACCAGCCACTGATTCTCACCTTCAATGATGTGTTTGCGGCTCAAGCCTCGCTCAGTTTCTGCCCTGTAGGAAAAGGCTACATCAAGGATGGGGGTTATCTGGAGCTATGAGAAACTGGGATGGCATGAGTCCTCACAGGCAGAAGAGGGGGGCAGGTGTGGGACAGCAACCCCCACTCCCATCCCATATACCACACATTCTTTGTAAGTCTTCTCCCCAATTACTTACTGTCCTCCCCAAAAAATCTTAGTGGTAATAACATAGCTGGATCTCCTGGAAAAAACAAAAGGATAGATCCAATAGGAAAATGATATTTGGTTGATCATGTCTCCAGTAACCTGCAAAACTGGTCTCACCTCCAACCTTTGCTCTTGAGGATGTTGCCTAGGGTTCTTTCAGCCCTGAAATAAAGACAAGGTAAGGACTCTGATCTCTCCAGGATAGATCAATTCCTTTCCTGTCTCCCAGCTTGTCCCCTCTAGTAGAGAGAAAGGAGAGTGGGGAAACAGGAGCCAATTTGGAGTCTCAGAACAAAGGAGAGGGGCTCCTGGAGCTAGTAGTGTAATCATATAATTTTTATTCATTTGCCCATGTTGTGTATCAGCTGTGTACCAATTCCTATTGTGGGTGCTTAAGGGGTGTAATATAATGAGGTGAGGGAAATAGACTTGAGTCAGGGAGGACACTGCCTTTTCTGGTTTCAGTCTTCAGTCATCCAGGTTCTCTCCTTCCTCTGCCTCTGTAAATCAGCCAGCATCCTCCTAAAGCCCCCTCTGATTCTGCCTGTGAATGCCAGTCTATGGTGAGTCCTTCTCACCAGCTCACACAATCCCCTCCTGCCCCCTTGGAAAGAGGATCTCAGTTTGTAGCTCAGGTTGGCCTCAAATTCCCAACCCTCTTCTCTTAGCCTGGAACTACAGGTGTGTGCCATCACACCCAGCCTACACAGTTCTGTTTGTTAGCACACAACTATGGGCTGTGACAAGTCTTGAATTATTGAAACACTTTACAGTGTTGGAGCTCTTGTATGTCCCATTTGTACAATCACGTGGACTGTTTGTATACTTTTTAAGGTTATGTTGACCTCTTTCTGAAATTGTGCATGCCTCTATGGAGGGTCTTGGGAAGACAAGTTCCATGGAGGTGGGAAGCCTCTGGCTGAGCAGCAAATGCAGTTGTATAAAGCAGTCATTTGCTCTATGTCAGAAGGTAGTACAACGGGTGTCATGGATGCTCACAGAAGGTTATGACCAACTCTGGGCAAACTCTTCTTGGAGGATTTGACATTTGAGCTAAATCTTGAAGAAGAATGTTTATCAAATAACGAGGCAGAGTAGACCACTCTTGACTCTGGCTGCTCCCAAAGTAAAGTCATAGGCAAATGATGTGATGTGGTGTGTTTGAAAATACAGCTTTGTAATCTTAAGGATAAATTTGTTGGTTTTACTTTTATATGACTGCGCAGTATGTCTACAGACCTCTAATCCAGAGAGGGAAGTGTTGTGAGAACTACAACTCCCATAATACATGGAGCAGGGTGTGTGTCTATGAGCCTGGAAGGTGGACTTTAGTGTTCCCAGAATTCCCAGGTTTTTTTTTTTTTTTTTTTTTTGAGGGAAACAAGAACCCCTGATGTTCTCTCAATCTGCCTTCCAAATACAACTGTGCTCTTTCACCCCAGTTCTTACTTTCCTGTGGCGTACACTTCAGCAGTGTCAAACAGGTTTACACCATGCTCATAGGCTACTGTCAGCACATCTTCTGCTGTCTAGGGAGGTGAGAAGAAGTTGAAGATGAACAGCTGCCCCTTAGTTATCTCCCTCCCTGCATCCTAACCCACAGCACTTTAGTCCTGGTTGCCCCATTTTCTCTCCTTTGCCCATCCCCAGCCTTAGATCCCATTACCCCCCCCCCAAGCTTGTCCAAACCCTAACCAGGTCCACTTCTTTCTCTCCCTATCCCCTCACCACAACCACCTCTACCCTGTCTCTAGGTCCCATCACTTATACCTCATCTGAGATCTGAGAGCCAAATGTGACCCAGGTACCTGCAAGACAGAAGCCCGACGTGTGAGAACTGTGGGAGTCACACTATAAAATAATGCCCGTTTTCTCTGATTTCTATTCTAACTCACCAAGGCCAAGACAGGACACCCGGAGACCAGACTTTCCAAGGTTCCTACAGGGCACAGAAGCAGCAGGGAAGGGTGAAGCCTCCACTGGGGACTTGGATTATCAGTCCCCAGATCCTGTCCTTCCAAACTGAGAAGCCCTCAAGGGTCTCAGTCCAAAGAAACCCAGACCCAGTGGGTTGTTGGGATGGACAGTGCTATCCCCATAGCAGAGGCCCTAGGAATATTGTTGAAAGAACTCAAGTGAACAAATAGTGATTGAGTGTTCTCTGAGAGCCACTGTCTAGCACCTGTCATCTGTGCCTTCTGGTTTGTCTTTCTTCTAGGTGAAGTCCTGCCTGCTTCTGAGCCATCTCTGGGATGTGGGCTTCGAAAAACGTGGCCGATTGTGGTGAGTTTGAGAATAGGCTCTCAGTCAAAGAATGCCACACTAAAGGGTGACAATAGAAAAATGTAGGCAACCCCAGTTCAGAACTTGACTAGACACATAGATGGGGCCTCAGCAAAGGCAGACGTCGGGATGGGGAGGATTTGACAGGAAGTCTGTTTCTCCTTCTCTTCATTGACTTCTGAGGGTTGAACTACAAATCCTTCTTCTCTTTCCAAGGCACAGATTAAACAGCTCTACTTCCTAATCAGGGCTGCTACAGGGAGAGGATTGCATACTTCAGGGGACTAAGCTAGGTCGAATCAATGACCTCAGCATACTTCCAAGAAGTGCCCCCCTCAAGTTCTGAGAGTCTCTGGCCTGCAGTCCCCTGAGTTAAAGTATCATTTCCATAGCCTTTCCCACCCAACTTTTGTCTTGAGGATGAAAGATATGATCTGTCCCCTTCCCCTCTCCTGCCCTACCTCACCCTGGGAAGGTCGAGAGAGAGTGGCCTCGGGGCTGATGGGGGCAATAACTGGGTCATGCGCCCCAACCGGCCAGAGTGAGAGCGTTTCCCTTCCTCCTCTCCCCAGGACGCCAACCCAAGGACACTCCATTGGAGGTGGGAAGCAGCCTGGAGATCCAGGCGTTCCCCG